TAAATTCAATTAAATGTAGTGTTTACTGCACATTTACTTTTCATTTCCTTTTCAATTAAATGCGTTCATTGATGCAGTGTTCTGCGTGTGACTTCGACACTCAGCCTTCTGCGTGTGACTTCAACACTCAGGCTTCTTCATGTGACTTCGACAGTCAGGCTTCTTCGTGTGACTTCAACACTCAGCCTTCTGCGTGTGACTTCAACACTCRGCCTTCTGCGTGTGAGAACAGTAAATATTCTTCAGATGAAATGAACATTGCCAACTTTCTTACCACTTGTGCTTCTTCTATTTCTGTTCTCAATCCAATGTTGGAGGTAATAGCATGGGGTGGTACAACGAGTTCTGGAGTAAAGCTTATAAACACCTGTCCGATAGACAACTGGTTGATGATACTTCAGGCACTAGTAAAGTCAAAGAAGTTGGATCTTGATACTCTTGGAGATGTTGGTGCTACCATTAAGTTGGCATTAACATTGGTTGATCTTAAGCAATATGGAGATGCTAAAATTGCAATATTGCCACAGATCCCTGCAGTTAAGAATGGCATTATAGACTTCTATGGCAACGAGTATGATTATGTCATCAAGCTCTTACAGGCATTTTTAACAACAATTAATTCCTCATGCAACTTGGACACTTGTCCTTCAAAGAGTAACACATACCTTTCACATGGTATTGSTTTGGGGTGCAATTATAATGACATGTCAAGCGCTGTTAATGAATGGCTTACGCCACCGGTCACCCAATGTCGTCGAAAGTTTAAAAGCCGGCCTCTTTCAACTATTCCAAGTGTTACAGATGAGACATTGAACTGTGATGGCACAACATCTAAGTCATGGCACTGTCCTGGTATAAGGGCAAGTTCCCCACGTTTATTCTCATGTTTTAATAATTTTTTTTATTTATTCTGTTGACTTGTTAAGCAGAAGAAATGGCGCAGGATCACAAAATCATTGGTATTGTTCATTGATTACACTGGTTTAGTGATAGTAAATGAAAATTGATTGATAATATATTTTGCTATACGGTACTAATAATCATCTTCTTTGAGCAAATAAAAATTGCCACATRAAAAAATGTGCCGATCAGTGTATTTAAAATATATTTTTGTTTTTCCTTTTTTTGTTCATTTACAAGTATTCACAAGAATACATGGTACATTCAATTTATGACTACGATTAATTATCTTTGAATAAATTATTATTTATTATACACTGTAAGAAATAAGAAACAGCCAATCGTTTCTCTGTCCTCACATAAACTATTTCGAAAAAGGTTGCTGGGTGAAATAGGCAAACAGCACAATGAACTTTGGATCTAAAGTATCTTATTTCTTGAAGTGCATAATTATTTACAAAGAACTTGTTGGAAATTTACCAAGGCACAGGCAACAACTACCA